TCAACGGAAAAGTTTTAACTATGCCTATATAGGTAGCCTATAATATTGCTTTTATGAGTTGGCGTTGGTGCTCTATCCATATCAGGTCTATTTTAAAAATCTGCTTTTCAAATTTTGAACGGGAATCCAATAATATGAGGATACAGGTGTGAAAGCAAATGTGACACGCCTGCTAGTAAAACAGATATTTTTACTTGATAAAGTTTGGCCAAATGCTAAATTCATATATTCATATATCTCATTACACAAAAATTCAATCTACAAAGAAAGTAAAAGTCACGCGTTGACCATTTGCCTTTTTCTGTTGTAAAAATTTTAATAAAAGTTTCCTGAAAATTTAAACATTTTTTTCTTCATCTCTGTACCATATCTTAAATCGTTTACAGATTAGAATCTACAATATTTAAGTGGTCTTATTAGTTCCAATTTTCCAATTCCGATCGAGACAATCTCGCAAAGAAAACGGAGAAATAATATAATCTTGAAATGAGTTTATACATCGCAATTTTCTCATCGCTCTTGAATAGATCAAAAGTTACCTAAAGACAAGCCTACCCAGAAAACCCCGGCCTGCTGTACAGGCTTACTTTGGTAAAATTGCAGAAAATATAAATTCAACTAAAATTCGTATTTGCTATACAAGGTCTTGTAGCCTACATAACATGCATTGTGTGTCTTTAGTTTTACTTATTTTTGTTATCCTTGAGTAAGTTTGTATAAAATATTTTAGAAAAGCTAGGGAGAGGCACGTTTTCCCTGTAAATTGTCAGGGGTCCCATTGGGTATTTCGTTACCCGTGAAATCCACTTTGTATTTCCCGAGATGCGTGAAACGTTCATATTATTTAACCTTTTTTGGGGGGTGGGGGCGTGGGGGTGGGGGGTCACACTCCCGTGAATTTGTTAACTGATCATTTTATTCCCGTGAACTGTGATCACTAATCTACCCCCTCTCTGTTTGTACCCTCTGTGATCCTTCTTTCGCGTTAAATTTTTGATGATTCCACGCATCCACCCTCACTTTCACCCAGTCCTGTAATCAATTTTCTAGCAACTGCCTGTCTATCAAAGCATAGAAAATCCGATTTCGAGCATTTCAGAATAAGTTTGCATGCGATTACCTCCGATGCCTCTTTCTTACGTAAATGAAAATGATACCAATGAGCTCTTCAAAGCCTAATGGGACCTGGGGAAATGAACATAAAGTTACTTCTCACACTGGTAGCCTAATACCAAGTTGATCTTAGGTTTAGTCATCACTTCTATATAATTTTTATAACTATTGTTTATCATTTTGCTTTTATTATTCTGATAACACCTGATGTTAGGGTGCGATCCACTCACTGAGAGCAAGTGATTCGGCGAGTGTATCAAACCTAACATAAAGTGTGATTGTAAAATGCTTTATAATCATTCATATTTACACTGTAGGCCTATAGGGGTCTACTACATGTAGGCCTATAGGCCTAAATATAATTGTGCTGATATCTATTTATTTATCTCCTCATTTATTTGATATAGTTAGATTTAAAGTTCATGATCCGATGATTGTACCCAGTTCAGAGATTTAGAGGGGGGGTCACTCAGGGGGGTCCTGATCCCCCCCCCCCCCCTTCAGTTTCTAAAAACTCACACTAATAGGCCTATTCCCCTCTTGAAATTAGAATTTTGACTAGCTGATTTGTAGTAAGCCGTACCAAATGGCACTGTTCGCCCTCTAAAATCCAAAAAAATTTCGGGGCCCACCGCCAATGGGGACAGGGGGGGGGGGGGGGGGGGCGGCTCCCCCCCCCGGAACCCCCCCCCCCCCCTCCCTTCAAAAAATCCTGGACCCCCCCCCGGTACCTCTGGCCTTTTTTGGAAAAATTTTTCAAAAA